TGCTTTAAAATTATACCACTCTTCTTCCAGACCCGAGACAAGTACATTGGCAAAATCATTATTTATCACTCTTAAAAGCTTCCTTTAAGATTTTTATCATTCAAATAATGGCTGGGAAAATACAGACGAGTATATTTTATGCACTTGCTAGTCTAACTTTAATACTGATGAGAACTTACTAAACCCCTAAAGGGAACGGCAGTTACTAGCCCTAATTCACAACTGATTTTTTTTAGTCCAAACCCTGAATTTTTTAGGCCAAACAGATGCCCTTGCCTCTGCCACTTGCACATAGCCACTACTTATTTGGTACAGCTTCCAATGTGACCGTTCCAACACTCTGAATGAGGAGACTGCTCTCAGTTAGGCACTCACTGGCCCAGTGAGTCGGATATGGACCTCTAACATAATCCAAATAAAGTAATAATAACAACAATAATGATAAGACACTGTACTTTGCTTCAGGCTTTTTTGGGGGGGGGTATAGGAGTCTTGTTTTAAATTCTTTTTTCAGTTGATGAAAAACAATGGGAAGCAAACCTTCAACATGAAACCAGCAAAATACAATAAGAGATCTCTTTTAAAAGAAACTTAAAACCACCTCCAAATCTGTTCAGTGAATTTTGCCATCACTTATACCTCTGCAGCAACAGAATAGCTTGGAGCAACCCCAGACAGCAGAGGACAGATAAGAAGGTTGGTGCCCATGTTTCCATCTGTGTTTCCAGACCCACCCATCAGTATGAGAGTCTTCAAGAGCTGAATGGCAGGACCCCAATCGAGAGCTTTATACTGCAAAAAGTATTTGCCAGGCAAATTCATACTCTTGTCTTTAAAATGATTCAGGGTAAGAAAATTGAAACTCAGGTGCAAACATTTGCAAACTGAGGTTTATTTTTCTTTCTATGTACTTGAAGTGAACATTGAAAAGGCAAAAGCATCCTAATCCTATCATGACAATGTCTTTCTCTGCTTTCTAAAGATGGGATTATCATCTCATTGGCTGTCACACAGCTCCTGAGAGAATTCACTTGATTTTCCTGTATAATCACAGCACAGGATTTTATTTCTGTTGTTATTGGAATGGAAAATGCACATAGCCTGTTCTCTCTCTTCCCCCTTTTAAGTTACTTACAGACCTGGATGTCACAAGCTTTAGAACACTTCAATTGCACTAAGACAGCTAAATCTGTGCTCACTGTAAGTTTCAAGCAACCTGCTTGTTAGCGGCTCTTCTCAACAAAGGCAGGAAAGTTTCCAGCTTTATATCTCTACTCAAATTCAGGCAATGAAGACTGAAGACCACAAAACTGTTGCCATTGCTTTCCAGCACATAAAATTAACAATTTGTGCCACTGCGTACAACTTTCAGTCAAAGTTTGTCTGATTTATAAGCAAACAGATGGTTCATACAGTAGTCCACAATAAATTACAACAGTTAGAAAGACAGCTACATTTTGAGAGTGACAGTGCAGCTGAGCTACAGATGGGTTTATAGATGACCCTTCCAATTTTTAATAATCTCCATAATTTATCTGCAAGTAAAGAAACGTGAGCATTCTTAATGCACCTTCTTCACTAAGTAAAAATCACTTTTATTTACACAGGCAACACTTCACGGTCCAGTTAACTTCTTAATTAAAAGCAGCAAGATGTTCATGTTCCATGCAAGTGGCATGGAAAATATTATTTAGTGTGCAGTATGTTCAGCTGCGAGCTTAAAATGCTCTGAACACTCCTGGAAAAGGGAATGCACCTATCTCATTTATTTAAAACAAAACTACAAGGGTGCAAACACTGCTACCACAGTTACTATTCATTAATCTCAAGATAAACTTTAACCTCATGCAGTAACAAGGTTAGGTTCATTTGAAATCTCTGATGCTTAGAGACAGGCTCCTAATCCAGGAGACACTACAAAACCAGTACTACTGAGCCAGGACTAGGATGGGGAAACAAGAACAGAGACCCTCATTACATGAAGAGAGATGGATTTAGAGGGTCAGGGAAAAGGAAAGCAAGTCTGGGCAGTGTCATCCCTGAGAAATGAGGCAGCAGTGGTGCAGAAAGAAAGTGGCTGGAAGCAGTTTTAAGAAGCCAGTTCATGCTTGTGATTTTAATGGCCATTTCTCCAGCACAGGTCTGAACCATGTCAGTCCAATCCCTCTGCTAACATTTTTGAAGGGACTCCCCAAAAGATGTCTTTGTTGGGTCATCATGAATGGCATGCCACAGTATGACATATTCAGTTCTTCTTGGTGTAATTTCCCTTGCAATGAGTTACCTTCCAAAAGGAGCACAGCTACAAGCAACAAGAGTATCCAGAAGGTGATGAAGGGAGCAGTGCCTACTATATAGACCTCTTCAAGGCACCCAATCTCTTGGGATGATTTGAGGACTTTTCCTCCTCTCTAAACCTTGGTCTTCCTGCCAAATTAATTTGGGAAAAAAGAAAAAAGAAAAAAGCATCCTCTTTTAAGTGGAAAATCCAAAACTACCTTTAAACCATAAGGCACAGCTGCTAGGAAAGCAAGTGTGTGATTTTAGTTACCACCTTCATGGGACTTAAGAGATGCAGCGGAGAAGAAGAGGCACCAGTGACAAATTCAGGCTTTCAAGAATTATCACAATTCATGTTTTGGAGATATTTTGGCAGGGATTGCCCAGCTCTGCCTGCAGCAGAGCAGCGTGGGGACCAGCACTGAGACACAAGTGGGAAAACCGCCTACGTGAAGGTCATGGGACAGCAGCCACTTAAAGCAGTTCTTCACATGCCATTTCCATGCAGCACAAACACCCCTTCATCTACTACACAGAATGATAGTGAAATTCTATTTGTTGGGGTTGTCTGTGAAAGTTTTCTATAAATAACCGGCATCTGAAGGTCTTTATATAAAACCATTTTCTATTACCATACACAACTCTTCAGTTGTTTAATTAAACAGGTGAAAAATATTTTATGGCAGCTTATTTCTGGGATGCTCTTTATTTTACCAGTATTTGTCATCTTGTTTCTGTTACACTTTACATATTTAAAGCTGAATTACACACTTGTGGAACCCAGAGAGGATTACTATGGACTTACTATAGATGTTCATCTCTTGCTGAGTGCTGAGTTTGACACTGTATTTTAGCAATATTCATCAAGTTCAGGAACCGCTAGCATGCTTTCCTACAAGAGAATACTGCCTTATACTATGGTTCTTTGCAAAAACAAAGTATTGATTATTTAATAGTATTTATAAATATTTCATAACTATCAACCTTTGATTCACTGCAACCCTTGCATTTACTTACAGGAGCAAGGGAATTTGCTTACAAGCAAATTCACACACAGCACAAGAAAGCAGAAGTTGATTGAAATCAACAGAATTGCCCCTGTCGCTCCCTGTCCCTGACAGAAACTCCAACATTATTGTGAGCATCCTGAAAGCCAGCACAGGCTATGCCAGTTTAACTCCACTGAGAAGTCAGAGAAACTCTACATATGGTTTATGTAAATATATAGTTAATATAGCATCTACTGAAGCCAGGAGGGATGCTCCAACTCACTAGCCTGTAGATCAGACCTTCTGGCTTGCAGCAAGATCCCTCTCTGACTAGCAGCAAAAATAAACCTGAAGGAAGGATAAAGGAAGGAACACACAGGCCTCACCATACATTTCTTGTTCCTTGCATTCATTAAACTGTCAATGGTGTGGAAACCATGAAATGGTTTCATAATCTCAAGATGGGGACACCTTTTGTCCCCCTGGCCATATTAAAATGTAGATTAATATTATAAAATAAAACAGCAAACTCCCCAGTAGCAAGAAGTAGCTCTCAGTTCTCTTAGTAATCAAATATTATTTCAAGCAATCTAACTAAAGAAATGTATGTATCAATCAGTTTGTCAGTGTATTTATCAAACTGAGTTCTGTACCCTTCCCACATATTTTACATTACAGTCTATGGCATGTAAGGTCGTGCACTTCTGTTTTGATTCAGGGATAAAAATGCTAATAGACACGAACATTTTCTTAGCAACTTTTCTTCCTAAATAATTATCCATGTTCAAATCAATACTTAGCTATCTTACAGAGGTTACAACCTTCAATAATTAAATTGGATATTCTATTGGCTGTTGTGTTGATTACGCTACAAGTTCCAATTTCTAAAAGAGCACTGAAATGCTGAGATAAAGGGATGTTAACTTTATTTAATTAGCTATCTGCCATTGTTATCAAAGTGGAAGGTTGGCATCTGACTCAAATTAACACTCTGGATCAGGAAACAAGACAGATGACATCTTCTGAGAAGGATCCTGGACACTCTCTGTAATTGTTTCAGTTATTTTAAAGCTGCTCAGGACAAACAGGACTGCATTTGAAAGAGCAAAAGTCACTGACAGTCAATGAAGTGCTCCTATGAAAATGTTATTTCAATCACACTTGGGTTCTTTCTCATTTTCAGTTGTTAACATCCTTGCCACTTCTGTCAAGCAGTCTCTCTCCTAGCAGCACCGAATTTTAACTGCACATAATTTTAAAACTCAAAATGAAATAGAAATAGGACTGAGCACATAATACAGGTTTCTTGTGTCTGCTAACAACAGATCAGGTCCTTGTGCCAAGGCATCAACTCTGCTCCCTGCAGAAAAGGAGTAACTAGTTAAACAACTGCCTGCCATCCCTCTACCTCGGAAACATTAGGTCTCTCATTTGAGGGTTGTTTGTCATTTATCTTGAAAGGAGACAAAAGGACAATCTGAAACCTCAGTGGTGCTGGAAACATTTTAAGTGTGGCTTGCACAAACTAAACCCACATATATCAACTTTGCAATGCCCAGAGGATATAGTACTCAGATGAACTCCTCAAAGGACACTCACAGTCTCACTCCCCAAATTACATTCGTATAGAGTGGCCTAAGGAATTATCCAATAAACACACCACTTTGACACTTCATGGTTTCTTACAGTTCGTGCTATAGAAATGTGCTTATTCCTTTCCCAACAACTTACTGGTCTTGACCGGATTTCTTTGGCGTAGAGAGGTTTCAAGAATTCTGAATCTCCTTCAAGCTTTAGACCCTTTTCTGTGATTCTCAGGTTCCCCATTCCATCCTAAAACACAGAAAAGAGAAACAAAACAACCCCATTAGTTACAATTACTAAAATCACCAGGCTGCCAATAGCTGATTTTTTTTTTTTTTTCCATAGCATGTAAAAGTACTGGCAGGCACCACAGAATGCAATTACTTGTGTTATCCTTTTAGTTCTGCTTCTGTGAAAGAGTATTCTATTCAGAACAATCTTCAATGCCCCCTAGTAAATGAAAGATGTTCTTTTAAGCTACTCATCTCTACCCAAAGAGAGGCAGCGATGCTCTGTGTTAACAGGAAACTGTTGACTGTAATATTCACTGGCTAACTGTATATTAATATAATTTCACATTCATAGCAAAACCATATAAAGACTATGTGATTAATTCTACTGAATTCCATAAAGAGAATATCTGATTAATTCCACTGAACCGACAAAATAGGGTTTGGCTATGTAGGAGTATTGCAATAAAATGTGGGAGAGAACTTAACCGCAGTTATTTGGGGAAACCTCTGCAATGCATGGACTCTTTGGTGGGATCAGCCCTTAGAGCAAAATAATGTGGAAACCTGTTTAGTTTCAAGTCTCACAGTCTTTCCTATGGCTTTGACACTGTTAAGATGCTACACGGCTTCACTGGAATATATATTTATGCAAATATTTGCTGTGGGAGAAGCAATGATACTACAGGAATATCTTTCCAAGACACTGCTCTCCTGTGTTGGGCTAACTCCTGACTTTTTTCTCCTGCAATGATCAGCTCAGGATTGGAACCCTTGCTCTGCTCTTGCACAGCTGAAGCACTTCCCAGCAACCTGAGCCTCTATATCCAAACGTTTGGGCCTCCTAAGTCATTACCATACCCTTCAAGCAACCACTGCAAAGTCCATTGGCCAGGCATTAAGTAACTGGTGTAATACGTGTTTCTGTCCTCTCCTCATCTGGATTTCATAGTTACAGCTATCAGTCCTCACCCTCTCCCCAGTTTCCACCACTCCCTACACTTCCATGGCAAAAATCTTCTTGTCAAATGGCATCAAGGGTTGGCCGCAGACCTCCAGCAGATGACCATAAATAGTCTCTTCTCTCTGCAAATTGCTAAGTTATGTGTGTCCAACAGGTAATGAAACATTCGACAAACCATAATAGCAAACACAATACATGTCAAAATTGAATACGATTTTTTTGTATGGTTTTTATGCAATAAGACAGGTATATGGATACACTGGCACAGAGCAGAATTGGACCAAATTGTGTTTCACCTTTGACTTGTGAAAGTCATAACTTTCACAAAGATGAGGGATTTAGTTTCATGTAGGCCACAATTGTTTAGAAAGGGGTGTATGTTAAGAAACATGGTGTGGGTGCAGAATTGCACAGGTAAAAGTATAATCAAAACCACATCAAATTCAAGGTATTATTTCTAAGATTCAGGGTGATTACCAAAGTCTGCTGGGATTGAGGAAGGTTGGGTTTATTTCTGACAAGAAAATGGTCTGAAGAATACTTTTTAGCATAAATTTGACTGACAACACTGGGACTTGAGACTGATGGTAGCAAAAGCTATGTCTCCGCATGTATAAATTAAGATTGGGAAATGAAGAAAAACTGGGTAGGCAAGAACTGCTCCAACAATCCTCAAACATATCCCTTAAGGAATCTTTCCATGACCTCCCCCCCGCCCCCATTTCTCCAGGCTACAGAAGCAGAAGGATGATGCTACATGATGCCTCAAGGACTCCACAATAAGGCAGGATACAATAATCACAAAACCTGCATCAGCTGAAGCTCAGCATGGGGAGGACATCGCAAGGAGGGACACACACATCAGCACTTCCAGGTAACACGATTCATATTACAGTAAGAGAGACATTGAAACCAAGAGTCACAAAGGCTACAGGATGGCAAGCGTAGTAATTTAGAGGAATTACTGATTTGTAAATATGGACATGCCATACAGACTCTACAGCATCTCATCATGCAATTTAGGGACTCACTGAGAAGGACTAGGCTGCCTTCTTAAGTGCTGGTAGGCAAGTCCTTAAATACTGAAGTTCCAATCAGAAGAGCTAACTCACAGTTGTTTGGGGGATTTGTACTTGGGTAGAAGATCAAGAGAGGACCAGGAAAATCCAGGAAAACTACATGCATTGGATATACATTTTGTAATCCAGCTGCAAAAAATAAAACATCTGTCTACTTCCTCTTCCTCCCAAGGTGTGTGCACCTCCAGCACTGGAAGAAGAATCACTGCCACTGAAGGTGAATGGCTAATCCAAACAGATCTGCATGAACTACTGCCAAAAGGCATGATCTGGAGGGATAAAAATCAAAGACATAGCCTGTCTCAGCAATGACACTGGTCACTTGCCAGAGGTTCTCCTGTTCCAAGAAATGTTCCCAGCACGTACCCCGCTGAGCGAAGACTGTTCTTGCCAGTGTGCGGTGTCCTATGAACAAAGGAACTACCAAGCCTGTGGGACAAAGTACATCAAGAACACATTTGATATATATTATATAAGCAGGCGCACTCTCCTACAAAACCAGTGTGTTGGAGAAAAAGAAGTACTTCCCCATGTTGCTGTTCTTAACTTTCGATCCTTCTCAACCTCCGACCCCCAGTCCTTCCTCTCCTTCTGTGACTGCCAAAACTAGTAAGAGACGCACTTTCCTGGTGGTTGGGATTGGGATGCAATGCTTAGCACTGACTTACCACAATTAACTTTCTGCTGCTCATGTTTCTCAAGACGGAAGATAACAGCTTTTTGTAGTCAAAGTCTGGGTCAGCAGGTGAAAAAACAAGCAAGGGTTGTAATCTGAGTTTAAAGTTAATGGGGATACTGGCCTCATATAGGACCATCATTACTAAATCATACTTATTATTTCCCATTGGAAATAAATAAGCAGCTTGCAGAATTATATAGAAATCCCCAAATACAGATACATTAGAGAGAAATCACTGCATGGAAGACTACCTCACATATTGTTTTGGATAAAGCATCTTCATCCTCCCTAAATTATATGGTCTAGTAACAAATAAATGTCATATTCTGCTACAGAGAATATATATGAAAGTTCCTGTGAAATTTCATGAACCATGACCTATAAAATGCAGCGGAAAGCTTCCCAGAGTGACAGACCACAAGTTTGTGTTAAACATTGCGTCTATGATTGGTTTATATCCTTATCTGCCACTCTATTGCTTATGAATACAGGGGAAAAAAAAAGGCAGTATTGATTATTTGATACACAGACATCTAACAATCTTTGTTTCTCCCCTTTTTATTAGTAGGTGGCTCAGCAGTGAATGAATGACTTTACTGTGCAAGCAACAAGCCAGCTTTCGGAGAGTGTCCAGGAGGCGCTCCAAACAGAAGGCACGCTCCAAACAGGAGGCACAGAAGTTGGGACTTCTCCTTTATCCTCTGCTTTGAATTATTTCGCTTTCTGGTAGGGCATGGTGAAAACTTTCACATCAATTTTACCATCTATACCCCCTCTCTTTTTATGCAATGCCTTGTAATGGGTAGGCATAAAAATTTATGTGCTATTGCTGACTGCTCTGTGTTGGAAAAGGCTAGCAATGGTAAAATCCCCAGGAACATAAATGTCACTTTGGTGATGCTGAATGAGAAAGGATTTTTTTTTTTTGCAGTAGCTTGAGAAGCAATTCAGCTTTACAATCAATTACAAATGATGGTGCTAGTGTTAGGAGAATAGCCCAGCATTGCTGCTATCTGATCATCAACGCTCCTGTCTGCTTTTTGGTCAGCAATGTGGCTATACATGTGGGTAAAGCCTAGGTTCTTTCTGTTTTCCTTTCTAAGAGTTGTGTATCACTTTATTTTCTTTTCTAAATTGTACGGCTGGTAGCAGGGAGATTCAGTTAACAGAATACGAAGACCCAGCCAACCTAACCAAAGACACGTAACAGCTGTGGTAAATACCTGGAAGTGGTATTAGCTGCAGCAGTCTGGACTGCTTACACACAGGAACAAAGGTAATTTTCAGTGGCATCTGCCATTCATTTATTAGATCAGGCTGGGCTCATGCCACAGCTTAACCTAGTCAAAAACCAAGGTGGCAATAACATGTATTCACTATGGCCTTCTATGCCAAGATGCTTTGCTCCTTACAAACAATAAGTTCAGCTTCTCGCTCCTCTGTGCTCCCTCTGTTCTGGCATTTCTGAACACAGAGGCAAATTTGCTGTTTACTGAGGTCTTTTAAAGTATTTTAGGGAAACAGATCTCCAGCTGTCTGCCGGCCATCACAGGCATGGGTAGCTTCCACATGCTTTTTCCTGCACCTCCATCCCTTCCCAGTTAGTCTCTGCACAGCAGGTAAGCATTTACTTTTTTTACTAGGAATAAACTGAAGTTATGTTTGGCAATGTCCTGTGGGAGAGAATTACTTTTAGAGACTGCTCATGTCAGATGGCTGAAACACTTGATTATCGTTGCTTGTATTATTGATTGCTGTGCTCTGCATCGCTTCCAGATATGTGCAAGTTATTACACAGCTCAATACATCCGCAGTTAGAAAAACAACAAATGCAAGTGACCTGTTTTTTTTCTTCCCCCACTGGGAAGATTTCTCTGCTGTTCTTCTACCTCTCACTTGATATTAAATGTTTCCAGATTCCCCAGATTTAAGGACGGTATGTTCCGATACACATCGTTGCCAGTTCTTCACAGCCTCAAACACCTACTTGCTCTAACAGGATCTGCCCTCCCTCCTTCTCCTCATTTTCTTCAGTTAATTTGTCAGCTCAATAAAGATCCCAGCACCAGTCCTATAAAGTTAAAGCTGGTTACACAGCACAGTCCCGAGCAACATACACTCCAAGGTAAGGAGACGTGCTACAGCTTCTCCCTCTGACAGAAGACCTTGTTTTGAGACCTCACATACAGACTCAGGTTTGTGCAGACAATAGAGAAAAATGAGCCAGCGTAGTGTTACACAGTATATACGATCGCATCCTGTATGCACAGAAACAAGATTCAGAGCTTATGCTTTGA